CATTCAAACTGGAGCGGATCAAAGATCTAGTGTAAATAAGATTGTAAAAAGAACAAGGATACTGAAGGGGATTGATTGGTTGTATATTGTTTAACGTCCCTCCTGAGAAATTTTCACTCATATGGAGACGTCTACTGAAGGGGAAACAATAACCAATGACAGAAACCAAACATCAAGTGAAACTAATGTTGTATAACAAAGAGTCAGTGATTTAAATCATAAATTCTTGTACTGGGCGTGTGGGAAGATACCTTTCCGGGAGTTTGCACTCTATATCTACTATGTAGGAGAATTTCACCCGGGAAAATTGAATCTGGTGTGGGATTTCCAAAGGGGAAATCCTATTCCAGTAAATTTTCATCGGGGAAGATCCTACTTTAGACCGGTAACAGTTCGAAGATCGATATGAAGTTGAATCTAAGAATACTGATCACTTACAAAAAAATCGATCTGATTGTTTATTTATCAAAATTAAGATTCAGCTTTTTGAACAGCTATTACAACATGTATTTTATGATGAAATTGAAAAGTGAAGTAATTTTTTTCTGTTTGTTCAGCATTGAAGCAAAAAGATGGCTACATTTAACAGCTTAAAAGCAAATTGCTACTTCAGGTTAACATTTAGTACTAATGTGATGAGAGAAATAACTCCAGAAAGGTAATGTTCTAGAACCCATCCGATGATACTAATTTACTTTTTTTTTCTTTTTTTGTCGAGTATTTTCTATATGTTTTCGAGATTATACGTATATAACACATAAGCATAAAAAAGTAATTATTGCAAATTTACAAAGATTTGAAAAACAAAATTAACAGCGTAGCTTACATATTAATTCACTACATGTAAATATTGAGATGATTGTTAGTCAATACATGTTTGATAATGTCAGAAAATATACATGTAGCTGAGTACATGTGCTCACTCAGTTTGCAAAACACGCGACTCTCTTCCTTACACGTCACGTGAAGCAATTCCTTACTGATCTGTTTACGTCATTCTACCTCAATGTTCGTCTTTTCCATCTTTCTTCTTGGTTGTGATTGCAGCCTTGTTCCCCTTGCTTTTCAATGCAGTATCATCTAATTCATTTACTTATCGGTCTAAGGAAGTGGATTTAATGCTGGATGCATAGGCGTCGGAACTGAGGGGGGGGGGGGGGGGGGGCTTACCCCCACTTTTTGTGCAAATGTAAATGTATACATAACTAAGGCATTAAAAATTGGAATTTACCTTTTTTTGTAGGTTTAGCCCCCCCCCACCCCCCATTTTCAATTAGCCCCCCAACACACACTTTCAATTTGCTTCCGACGACGTAGTAAGAAATTTCCTTACGTATATCTTTGAAACATTTTAAGACCATCAAATCATTGTAAGAAATCGGAGAGTGTTCATTTTTGCCATTTAATGATACGTGTCATGTAAATCAACATACTGAAAGTGATTTTTAAAAATATAAAATTGAAAAAAATTTAACATTTTTTATGTATTTTATACATTAATGTAATATAAGAATATATGTTTTTTAAACAGTCATTTAAAATATACGATATAAAGTCCCGCTTTATGAGTGAAACGACAAAGAAGGCTGTAAAAAATCCTCATCAGCAAAGTAGTCAGAGGGGTTTTCATTATTGTAAGGCTAAAAATTGACGTACATGTAGCATTTTTTTTCAAAGTTGTGGTCAATCCGAGGAACACTTACTTGAAAAATCGTAACAAGGAAATAAAACCAAAACAAAAAGAAAAGGAAAGGGGAAATAAAGAAAAAAAAACAAGCAAAAATAAAAAAAAGAATGTTGTCAACACACAATGTGTTTTTACTCAAACATTATAACCCTCATTTAACATGTACTCTTATTTGACAATACTCAAACCAAAATGGGTGCCCAAACTTGAAATATTTCTGGAAAAAAGTTGGACTATCCCTGTCCCCTGATGCCACGTGTCTCCTTAATTGTTTGTCACATCCTATTCGACGATTTTATCACCTGTGGTCATTTCTGCTGAAGATAAACTTACACTGTAAGATGTATAAAAAGGTCTGCTCACTTTACGTTTATTGCTGAAGACCTTTCTCAAGTTAAGATTAAACTAGTACTTTTGTAAAGCTTAATTTCAAAAGTCAATGTCTTATAATTATATCTTAAGACTACACTTAATATTTACAGTGTTACGTTATGTTTAATTTGTAGTTTATATACAGTTGTAAAGAATATAACACTCCAAACTCACCAATATCGATGAAAGGAAAATATCACTCCAAATTTTGTTAAGGGGCTTGCAAGAATTTTAAAGGCCCAAAACGAAGACACATTTCAACAAGTCTGAAAAAAAGTCATCGAATTGCACAATTTTTAAATGAACCATAAAAATGGGATTGGTGAGTACTAAAACTATTGTATTCTTAGTATGTTTTGGTCTGCAAGTATCTTCAATAGCCCAAGAAAGCCGCCTCCGGTTAGGGCGGCATTTTCCAGTTTTCGTAATGGCACCGGTTCTGACGTTTTCCTGGCACGTAAAATATCAAATTCTTAAAAACTTCAGAAACACTTTTTATAAGATATTTCGGACTGTATCGTATATACTCGCCTATAAGTCGGTCCGCTACGAAAGCCCAGAAGGCTCATTCGAGATTCGAGATTCGAAATACGAGATTCGAAATTCGAGATTCGAAATTCGAGTTTCGAGATTCAAGATCCAAATTAACCAATCAAAAGGCAGGTTCAATTTTGATTACTCCCCTTTATTATGTTTTACTATCAAGAAATCGTTGAATATATTCATATCAAATGGGTCATTTGCTTAAATGATAATGCAAGAAAAAAAGATATATGTATTAAAACGAAATAAAAAGAAATTTTAGGTTACATTTTAGAAAATATATATAAATTCTTATTTTTCCCCATTAAACAAAACAATAGATAGGTATAAAGAATATTATATGGTCTTATCGTTGAATTGCGGTATTCTTAAGTCGATATTTTTTTAAATAAGAACATTGATGAGGGAGAAAGTTATTATTTATATGAAATACTAATGAGGGTACATTTCTTTACATTGTGCCCCCCCCCCCCCAATGATTTTGCCGATTATAAAATACTAAAGAAATCATAACTACTATATGCTTGTACCCCCTCAATTTTTTCCCCCCTCAATAAAACATCTGATGACTTTTTTTGCTTTGTTTTTGGTTTTCAAGAAATTTTTGTTGTTGAAAACTGAAAATGTATGGTTGCCCCCCCCCCCCCCCCCCCCCGAATGAAATGAGCATTATGGTTTTACTAGTATATTTGAGTCTTTGACCAAGTCGGGCGAGACCCGAGCGATTTCCTTTTAAATAATTATCGAATATATATTTATTGTATCTATGCATCGCAAGATTGACGATGAATGTTGATAACCACACATTTGCCCCTCCCCCTCCCACTTGGCCATTCCCGTAATATTTTATATATTTCCGATATAATATACTATAGAAAACAGTAACTTTATGCTTATGTCCATTCAAAAATAAATTCCAATTACCATGATAACCCCTATTTTTTGAGGTTAGGGTAGGGATAGGGGGATTAACAATGATTTTTTTTTCAAAATTTATTATTCCCAATGGGTCATTATCTTTATTAAGCATGCATGTTTCAGCCATCCGTTTTTAAGGGGCTGTCTATTGGTTTCATAAACTTGGTCGATCTCGATCACTGGCCACTTTCTAATACCGTGTCACAAACACTATCCACCTTGAAACCCGTAGTTCTAATTATTACAGAGACGAAGCATCGATTTTGAAAGTGGGGTGGGGGGGAGGGGGGGGGGGGCAGACAAAAATATTATTGCAAACCTGAAAATAAAAACTGACAGAAAAAATTTGTTCAAACCCGAAAATCCTATTTCGGGGCGTGAAAGGGGGCGGGGGGTGGGGGTGGGGATCGAACTTCATTTAGTACCTAATTTCTTTTAATACACTACTACTTAAACTTCTTTGACTATTCTGCACCACTGTACCAAAACGTGGAGGGGGGGGGGGGTGGGTGGGCTTGGCAACTGACCTTTCGATGAACATTTTCAATAGTAAAAAAATTATGTTTGGAAAAAAGGGGGGATGTATGTACTGTTAATTAATCTATTTTAAGTTTACTATTATGTCAACAACCCTGTATCCAAAGTAGATAACACGAAATATATATATTCTTTATATAAATCTCTTATGATATTTAAGAAGCTATTATAAATTAATTAAGCATATCGTGCAGACCAAAATCTAATATTTCTTTAAATTTCGTTTTGATAATATATAACACTTTTTCGCGTTGTAATTTAATCAAATGACCTCCTCAGTATTAAAATACTCAACGATTTGTTGATAGTAAAAAATAATAAAGGGGAGTAATTGAATCTCAAACCGCCTTTTGATTGGTTACTTTGGATCTTGAATCTCGAAACTCGAATTTCGAATCTCGAATTTCGAATCTCGTATTTCGAATCTCGAATCTCGTATTTCGAATCTCGAATCTCGAATGAGCCTTCTGGGCTTTCGTAGACCGCCTATAAGTCGGTTGTATTTTTTAAAGTTATTTGCAAGGATTTGCAATTGTCCCGCTTATAAGTCGTGCAATTTTTTGCCAGAATCATATGACAAGTTCTATTAATGCTTTGATGTTTTACCCTGATTTCAATTGATATTTTAAGAAATGAAGAAGATATCTATTTTTAAATCATAAAAATATAAATATTGCCCTCTTAAGATTAAAAATGAAATAAAATTATAAAATTCATTTATATAAAACACATGTAATTGATGTATAAATTTAAAATACATAAATGTGATAATGTATCCATACTTTGTTCAACGATAGCTGTTGAAAATGATTATAGAATACAATGTACTACGGTTCACTATCCAGAAAAATACCTGTCTTTTTATTACTCGCCTATAAGTCGGACAGAGACTGTTTGACTAAAATTCAACTCCCAAAATACCGACAGAAAGGCGGTTATATACGGTAAGTACATCCGAGAGATCGGACGCATTTCCTTTTCCTTAGAACTGAGATAAACTCGAATGAACAAAATCACACTTTAAATATTTAGTAATTATTAATAATATTAATTCTCCTGAGGTATGTTGCAAATCTATAGAAAAATTAATGAAATATATTGATAAACCAAAACGTATTTGAGTTCAAAAGTCAACAAACATTACAAAATTTGACCTCTTCAAGGAGGGATCATTGCCACGGAGGAGTTAGCATGTTACACAATTCTGAAGTGTTAATCACTTTCGAGAGTAAAATAAATAGTCACTCGATATATCGCAAATAATATGAGACAGCTGATCCCGATCACAAAAGAGATAATGGTTAGGTCACGTGCTCCTTTTGCTTCCCGATGTGCTTTTGCCATATCACCAACATGGACCGCTTCCTTTGCCTATAAGAAAAATAAATGGAGATAAGCGACAGTGATCAATCAAGAAAGAAATCTATAAACAAAACGAATCTATGAATGCTTTGGAATATATATTCCAGAAAATTGCAGATGATGGATCATGTGTATAGAAGAAGAAAGCATCTCTTGTTGACTGGTAACACCCGCACATCATTTTTTTTACTCGCCTATAAGAGGTTCGGGTGAGGGAGGGAGCTTTTGTACTACCCTCGGTATTAGCGTACCAAGTTAAAGTTTTGCAAAACATTTTTTCCATTAATTTCAATGCCTTAAATTAATAAGAGATGCATGGAAGCGTCATTGCACTAGTCAAATTTTTGTTGTGTCAATTTCAGCTTAAGGATGACAGCTTTTTTTTCTTTAAATAGATCTCTTTTTATGCCCCCACTATCGAATATTCGGGGGAAAATAGTTTTTGTCCTCTCGGCCCTTCTAGCTGTTAAATTGTTTGAAAATACATAAACCTTGTCCATAACCTCTGATTGCTTAGGGTCATGGTTTTCAGATTTTACAGGAGCATTCCTAATGACAAGACCTCTCTTTTGTACCACAAGATTTTACCTTGTTGACTTGAATATTGGCCCCCATTTTACCAAAAAAACCCACCTTGGTCATAACCTTTTAGCACACGTATCTTTTGATAAGAATACATGTCCCCTATCGGAATCTCCGTTTCTCTTTGAGATAAAAGCATTTTTGGAGCATTTATTTAATGCATCACGAACTGGATCATAACTTTAATCAAAGAAAAAAAATGAAATTACATGATTCCGCCAAAAATCAAAGATACGGAGCAATATACAAACTACACCTAAAACTCGTCAAGCTATAACCAAACATCAACTCAATTTTTTCAAGCGTTATATATACTTAGAAAAAAGAAAGTAAAACCAAGTAGGACAGACTGACAGACAGTTGGACGATCGGACAGCTCGACATTCACAGACAGACGGACAATCTCAGAGAAAACCTATAGTCACATCCCATCCGGTTTCACGGGTAGAGGACGAAGAAATGTATTGCTTTATTTTCTATATTTAGCTCTTCAAAGTCAAAAGTTCATATGCCAAAGGCATTTCTTGGATACCTTCAGACCTACATGTGTATGATCATCAAACTTTGTCAACTGATGCATCTTGCAATTTAAGTAAAAAAATAAGATTTCAGTGACCCACATCTGAAGGTTTATGCCTATTTTGAAATTTCCTACGTAATTATTTGGTTAAAATCATCACATTTTGTCAGTAAATGCATCTCGAGTCTACAGAAACAGTTAAGTAAAAATTGGTCACGGTGACTAACTTTTGAAATTTGATGACTATGTTTGAATATATCAAGTAATTTAAAAATTACTGGCTTAGAATCATCACTATTGCTATTGGGTGTTTTGGTTAGTGTTTTGTTCTTAGGTCTTCGGAGAATATAAACCAAAGTATTGAATTATAATATTTCAGATCAGGTCTTAGATATTACGATCGTTGTTTCTTAGGTCTTTGGAAAATGTCAAACAAAAAGTAGGTCACCGAGACTCACATGCACTTTAGGAATATTATGGCTAAACTTAAACATTTATGACCCTTATTGGCTACAAATCATCAACCTCTATCAGATGATGCATCTTGGGTCCTTACAATGAGTAATATATTTAGAACGAAGGAGTAATATGCTTCCGGAGCACTAAGGATAAGGTTAAGTTTGTACTTCAAAGGTGGATAAATCATCATATCGACCGAAAAAGAGATAATTATTTTATTTTATGATTCAATGATAAAGTATGCAACTCATTACTTGCTTGCATTTGTTGAAGTCCTAACCAATAGATAAGAGAGAAGCAGAGCTAAAATGTAAGTAAACATTACCAATCGTATTAATTTGAAAATAAAATTGTATAGTTGCCATGAAAAAAAATATTTTGGGCTCTTTGAGAATAATCAAATAAAATTGACAGCTATAAAAAGAAAAAAAATAAATCTCAAGAAAATGGATGTCCCTGCATCCTCTCTAACATTACAAATCCCTTAATCTTATGTTCATATGAGTAAAAGTCGGTGCAAGATGACTATTACGTTGTATTTTTTGTACTTTGATGGATTTTAGAAAATTAGAAAGATATGAATTATTCCATAACATTATACAATTATTGCTGTGTTTTGAGGTCAATACAATGATTTAGCCATCTGAGGAGTACAATATTCACCGAGCCCGGAGGGCGAGGTGAATACTGTACTTCGAAGATGGCTAAATCAATGTATTGACCGAAAAACACAGCAATAATTGTTTTATTATATGATTCATTAATAAAATGATAAAACCCACTACATGTTTGCATTTAATTATATGTCCTATCCAAATACAATTAAGAGAAGCAGAATTAAAATGATAATTAACCTTACAGGTCTTATTTATCAATTTTTTTAATAAGTTTTTTTTTATCAATTTTAGTTGTCATGAAAAAAAAATATGTCAGTTTTTTTAGGATAGATTTTTAAATGAAGGAGTATTATCAGGGAAAACTGACTGCCAAAAAAGTTAAAATTGTTGTTCAGTAAAAGTGTCCAAGGGATGTCTCTGCATCCCCTCTTACCACCCTCACGCGAAAATATATATTCGCTTGGTTTGTTCACATGAAAAAAAGTCATAATAGTTTAAATGGCTTTCCAAAACAATTTTTGTCATTTTGGGATTCCCCGAATCTATTTTTAGATCAATGTAGAGGAAATAGAGGAAATAAATCCTTGTATTGACCTGGAACGTCACGTGCAGGTCAATACAACGTAGTATTTTTCTAACATAGTTGGATCTCAGCCAATCAGAAAGGTGGAAATTAATCAATCATATAATAAAATAGCTTGTATCAATTTGGAATTTCCCGACCTATCTTTGGATCAATGTATAGAAAATAAATCTAAATTTAAATCCTTATATTCACCTGAAATGCCACTTGCAAGTAAATATAACGTTGTTTTTTTCAACATAGTTGGAACTCAGTCAATTAGAATGACAGGAAGTATTCAACCATATAATGAAATATAGTATTTTATTATATAATTTTTTATATATATATATATATATATATATATATATATATATATATATATATATATATATATATATATATATATATATATATATATATATATATATATATATATATATATAATCGCCCTCCGGGCTCGGTGAATATTGTACTCCTCAGATGGCTAAATCATTGTATTGACCTCAAAACACAGCAATCATTGTATAATACCTGATGCCCACTTTGACTCTGTAAACATAACATTATAGGCGAATATATAACTTGAGTGGGGTGGTAAGTTTGGGGTGCCGAGATCCCTCCCGACCTTTCAATACTTTTTCCTAATCAAACATTTTTACTTTTTGTAAGTTTTTTTTTAATTCCACTACCTTTCTAATGGACATTTTCGGTTGGGTGAACTTCTACTGCACTATCGATAGCGGATAAGAAAAAGTATGGAAACCATATAAAGCAATTATGAAATAAACAAGAGTAGAAATGGGATATCCAAAGATATTCGACTTTTCGATTTGAGTAAATTTCGTGATTACGGTCACCCAGTTTCATAACAAACAGTACACACACCTGAGTCCTCAAGACCAGTTTAAGCCTTGGTCTATATACAGGTGCGACTGAGTTGTCATATGCATCTATAGCGACCGCGGAGAAACACGTTTTGTTTTTCCGAGAAGTTACGATGACAGACATACTCGTATCATTACAAATTCTGTTAAGTAAAAATTATACAATCCCTGCTGAACTACTCAGAAAATTTTGTTTTAACATTTGCATCTGCATCAAAGAGTGTTTAAAATGTGTCAGGAAAATCAGGGCTGTGTCCGGAAATTCTAAACTGAGATCCTTTTTTTTAAATTACTGAAATAAAATAATGTATTCTTCACGGAACTCGCTTATATAATTCAAATTCTATATTAAATAATATGCACGAACACGAACCCAGTTTTCAGTTTAGAAATATCCGACCAGGTTCGGGTTTTGCTACACATCTTAAAAACTATACGCTCCCCACACAGTCTACACACGATCAGAACCCGGCAAGGGATCGAAAATTCCTTCATTTAATAATATACACACAATGATTATTTTTTTCGTCTCAAAGAAGGATATGGAGATAACGAACAGTAATCGATCTCAAAGTCCATAAAACAATACAAATTAAGAGCAGAGCAAACATGGACACCCGAAACATCAGAGGTGGGATCAGGCGCAATGGAGGAGTGAGCATCCCCTGCCGACCTTGTCATGATAAGGAAATAATGGAATAAATCCATCGTCAATTCAGTGTATAATAATGGACTAACAATTGGTATGAAAAACGTCAGCCAGTGAAAAATTGTATTTTCTGACAAGGTCATTATATCGACAAAAGAACTTACGAAATGATGACTTTTAACGAGACTGTTGATATTACTGTTTCATCAAGTTCCTTGTAAATAATTTATCTCGCTTCAGAAATTGTTCATACGTAGAGCATGTTCTTGCGTATCAAATCAACTGAGATATATATACTCCGTATGCAGGCAATGAAGTTGTATTGCTGCATATGTAAGTGAAGTTGACGATAGAAGAGTTAAAGTCATTACGTTTATCATATAGCTTGGTTGTTAGATTACCATTAGCGTCTTTTTCAAGTAAAATATCCAAGTATGAAACAAATGGGGGACTCAGTGGTATTTTTTATCTCAAGCTCACAAGGATATGTCGTATCGACGTAGGAATGGACATTGCCATTATTAATTGGATACGCCGTCGATATATCTAAATGTCAAGTTGAAGGCCACAGCAAGTGTTTCCCTCTTTTCGTGCATAAGATTTAACATAAATTCTGCTTCATATGAATATTAAAATAAGTCTGTTAATAACGCCATTTGTACCCATGGAAACCCCAATAGATTGTTGGAAAAGTAAATTTACTTTTCCATTTTTGCTGAAGAAGCAGCTGTCAATGATATAAAAAACCCTGGATTTGAATTTGTCATGGGGAAAAGAAAGGAAACTATATGATACTCAGTAATTATAATTAACGAACAATTAACATGAACTTAATACAATTGTTGATTATAGTACACTAGTAATCAATTCATCGGTGAAAAGATATCAATCGAAGAAAGACCTAGATATTCTGTCATCAAACATGTTAATTCTCTTTTCGGGGGGAAAGTGATATTTTGAGAAACATTTACGTTAAGTTTGGTTTCTTTTACGTACGACTTACACAGTATAATTTTTCATGAACAATAATGTTGTATCTACTTCTCATGATGGAGCTATTTTCGTTGGAACAAGTTGTAGAAGTCGCTGCTGACTACAGTAATATATCTTAACTGATAGTAAGCACTGATTGAATACATTAAAATTAGTATATAAGCTCCTTTGTTTTAAATGGCGTTTATTACAAGTGATCTGAATAAAAATATTGTCTGATTCTCTGATGAAGGAAAAACTAATTTACTTATCCAATTTACAACTGTTTTAAAACGTAAGTTGTTGTAAACTGAATGTTAAAAAACGCCGTTTTGAACTAAGGAACTTGTATTATTTTTATGCCCCCGTAAACGAAGTGTCGGGGGTATATAGTTTTTGTCGTGTCTGTCTGTATGTCTCTCTGTTTGTCTGTTTGTCCGCAAAAACTTTAACCTTGCCCATAACTTTTGATTTAGTGGAGCTATGACTTTCATATTTCATATGTGTATTTCTTGTGACAAAACCTTTCTTTGGGTACCACCAAATTTGACCTTTTGACCTTGACCTTGGAGTTTGACCCACTTTTACATGAAAATTTTAAAATTTTACTTTGGCCATATTTTTTGAACAGTAGACACCAGGACATTTATACTTCACATATGTAATGTTTGTTAAAAGACCTTTCACTGGATACCAACAACCTTGACCCTTTGACCTTGACCTTGTAGATTTCCATACTTGTGAAAAAACTTTAACCTTAGCCATAACTTTTGAACGGTAAAGGATAGGGCTTTCATACTTCATATAAGTAATCCTTGTGAGAAGACCCTTCATTGGATATGAAGATCCTTGACCCTTTGACCTTGACCTTTGAGTTTGACCTACTTGAAAAAAAAGCAAACCTTGACCATAACTTTTAAAGACTTAGGGCTAGTTCCTTTCATACTTTACATATTTGATCCTTATGACAAGACCTTTCATTTGATAAAATAACTTTGATGCTTTGACCTTGGAGTTTGATCTACTTTTTAAGAAATTAAACGTTAACCATAACTTCTGAACGGTTAGGGCTAGGGCTTTCATGCTCTACATAAGTATTTTATTAGGCAAGACCTTTCATTTGATACTAATTACATTGACCTTTTGACCTTGACCTTGGAGATTTTTGTACTTATTAAAAACCTTTAACATTAGCTTACTTTAAAATTTCACAATTGTTTTCCAGTGAGAATACCCTACTTTTGGTACCAGTTAATTAAATTTGCATTTAATAAAAGCTTAATCTTTGCTATGTTGCCATACGGGGGCATCAGTGTTTTACAAACACATCTTGTTTATTCATAAATGCTTTTTATGGTTTCCATACTTTTTTAATCCGCTATCGATAGTGCAGTAGAAGTTCACTCAACCGAAAATGTCCAATTCAATCATATAGCATAGCGTAAAACAATATTGCTGTTTTTTAGTCAATACAATGATTTAGCCACCTTCTAGATAAAATATTCACATCCCCCTCCGGGCTCGTTGAATATTGTACTCCTCAGGTGGCTAAATCATCGAATTGACCTCAAAACAACAATAATTTTAAAATATTTTAAATAAAATGTATGAATACCTGTTTAGCAGACTTTATGGCGAAAACGGCGGTTATGCAACAGCAGAACAAAGAAAGAATAGCGGGAATCATCCAGTCTCTGGGAGGAGTTTGAGGTACGATATTAGGCGTCTGACCAGGGTGTGGGCCCTGCAGGACATATGTAAAAAAGATATCTTATTAACGATTTATATTACAGGTATATGCACACCAAAATACACGTAATTTGAATAAGCAATGTTAAAAGATATTCTTTGGAGTGAAAAAGAAAACAATTTCAGAAATCAGGGATCTATTTCCTTGATTCATGAACATGTGCTTTAACAAATATTTCAAATGATAAAGTGATTTTTTTATACAAATTTCTCTGTTTTTTCTAGATTTATCTTTCTATTAGCTTCATATTCAAATTACACAATAAATGAATTTAATAGCTACTGTTTAACATGGGCTCTGGCTGTTAAAGCGTTTTTAACAGCAAAGCTTTATAACTACAGTAAACAATAAGATGAACAAAGAAACCTTGAAACATTTTAAACATCGCATGTTGCTAATTGTAACATTGAAAGTTTTCACCTCAAGAGAACTGTTGTCAACCGAGGGGCATGTTACATTTAACTACATGCAATATTTAATTTTCAGATTTATTCTTCATACATGTATAATACTGAATACTTTATGCAAAAACAAATTACAGTGAACCTTGCACTTATAAATTCTGTTCAGTCAATTTTTGTTGTTAATATCGACTGTCGTCAAGCAATGCATTTCATACATCAAAAACTCAAAGTCATATGTTTCAAAAAAGACGGGTTTAAAAAATATCGGCCATAAATCATGAATATGCATGTATATTACAATATGTTTGTTCCATCCCAATTTTAAAAATCGGATAATTTTTTTGTCTAATAACTGAAACGCCCCCTAATAACTCTTGTTCTTTATCAGAATAATGCAGAAATGAAAACTAGATTTTCCATTTGTCGAGTATCTTGGTTCCATGGATTTTCATAAAACTAAAAATATCCAATTTAGATATAGAAAACTGAATTTATTTTCGTTAAATGAAACGTAAAGTATTAGAACACTGAACAGAATTTTTTTTAAAAAATCACTTGTCAGAAAGTGAGAAATGAGAAAAAGTTTGCTTTTCAGAAGTAGGAATTAAACCATCTTTTTATATTACCCATAAAACATTGTTATAAGCCTTATCTGCTAAAACCATACCGAAACGTCCTTAAATAAAGAAAAAAAACTTTCTTATTCTTTTATCGCTTCTTATTTCATGAAAGCGAAAGGAAAATTGTTAACATTTTACCCTTAAAAACTGTTTTATTGAGCTGCTTTAAATGAAACAATTGACTGATATTTAAAGGTTTGAAGCTAAAGTGTTAACTTTAATTAATTGTTTTATCGTTGAATTTGAATACTGAAAAAATTATGCCCAAACTGGATATTTACGTATAACATTAGATATGAACAAACGTGTGTAAATTCAGATTAGTATTAATTAACACAAAAATAATTCTAAAGGCTTTATTGTTTTTTTTTCACAATATCTACATATAAAAAAATAATATCTGTCAGTATTAACCGAAAATATCTGGAAAAATGTACTTGAAATAAAACTTAATTCTCACCACAGTATTGTTTTTTATCCAAAACGGAGCATCAACTCCCTGATATCGGTGAGAGACAGGAATGCCATCTTTATTTTCATACTGAACACCTTCTAGTTGTGAATTTTGACTTGGGAGCTGATTGTACCGGTTTGCATACGTAAACTGAGCATCGGAGTCTGATAACTGGTTGTTCGTTGGGAAACCTACAAAAAGTATGAAAAACTAGAGGTACTGTGAGCAGAGAGCTCACTAAATGATAACCCCCCCCCCCAACTTCCATATGTTTATAGGGAAAGTCCTTGTTTTGCTGTGGCCTGGAAACCCAAAATATGTGTCGGATCAAAAAGTAAAATAAAAGGGACACAATTGCAATATGTAATACAGATTCTGTTAAAAATGCATTAAATTTCCCCCAGTGGTATAAGAGGAGTTGAGAGATAGGTACCCCAGAGCGTAATAGACAGACGGACGGACAACTAGAGGGACACACGGACATACTGATTACAGTATACCCTCCCGGTATAGAAAAATAAAATGTTCCGTAGAATCACAATTTGAGATGATTTCATGCACATGGTTTGCATGTAATGATCTTCTGCTTGAGTATTTTCTGATTTCTGTCAAGGTTCTAATTGCTTTCTATGTAGCTATTTATGGAAATATTGGAGAAACAGCTTTTGTTGTCATTTTGTTATATATGGTAAGTTTTATTGAATTAAATACCGATGTAAGCATTATTAATATTTCTGCATAAAGATTTTTCAAGACCCTTTATCATATTTATATCCCTTTTCTGCACACGTCAACTTGAAAATTTATACATATACGTAACCTTGCATATTTTGTGACCTTCAAATAATTAAACCAAATCCGTTGAAATAAATTAGTGTTGAAGTTTGAGTTTTATTATAAACTGGTTTGAGGCGGTTTAAGAGTAAAAAGACGTTCTTTATTGGATTTCCTGTTGTTGCTCTACAACTGTCAGCTAGATTGACCTACATAGTTGTACGAGCTGTCATTAATATAAGCGCATGATTGAATTTTAATGTACCCAATCAAATGCTCCAAAATGATGTAAATATTTTTTTAATAAAAAAAATAAATTAAAAAACGAGCTTAAACCACCTTTCTTTTGTATTTTGACGTGTTATATGTAATGATAAAAGACCCAAAATAACTCATGAATGTCTTTTGTATATAGTAAAATAGGTCCGAATTATTGATGTTCCAAAACTGATTCAAAGCTTAAGTGCTTATGTACTCGTGTAAAACTAATGAATTCACTAATCCTATGCAGGATCGATTAAATATAGATTTCATAATACAATCGTATATTTATTTTCATTTACTCTAAATCTTTTTATCTGTATCATAATATTTAGATATATACAGTGTAGAATTAGCTTTAAATGTTATTAATATATCTATGTGCAGAGTTGGATTATTATATCCACAAATGCCGTGTCCATATAAAAAGCAACCAATTTCAACACTTTGGCATGCATTTTGCTTTTTAAAAAATCAAAGAAATCTCTATTGATTATGATGATAAAAAGCCGTATTGTTTCGCTACACTTGTCTACAATGCTAAAAGCAATACAATGCTAACACATGATGCACCATCATTCTTGTGGCTACAGAGAAATAATTATTATAAAAAAAAAAAACCGCCACATAAAGGCACTTTCAATTTTTTATGAGTTGAAAATAGTTTTACTAAAACAATAATAGTTACCCACCTCCCGTTTTATCCACCGAAAGCATTTTTCACGCGGGGACCTGTATTTCCAAAATGTTTTCCAAACTATTCCCAGTATTCAAATATATATACGTAATAAAAGTTGGCAGCAGCATTGAGTCTATTATAACAGGTTATAAAGGGGGTCTATTGAATTAAACACATGCAATGCGCATTGTCACACAGGTAAGACTGCATTCAGTGAAATGGCCTTTAATCAAAAGGTTTCCAAAGTTTTCATTATAAGATGCGAAATGTTTTACTATTAATACAGTAAAGAATTTTCAAGATACAGTTGTATATCATGGTTTTTATTAACTACATGACTCTAATGTGTACAGACGTTAAAATTAAGTTGAATATTTCTGATACTTTCACAACATTCTATTTGATAAAGCCCTTTTTGACGTAAAATTTTGCATGTCAGACTTAGAAGTGTGAAAACGATTTTTGGATACTACTAAACAGAGGATAATTGCGATTCTAATTAAATTATATACGACCTATACTTTAATGACCCCTCGGTGTATTAACAATTCTTTCTTATCATTTTTTAGAATAGGCTTTCTTGTAACTATGAATTGAAATTTGGTAAGTTATGCTTAGATATGGAGTACTCAAGGTTAAAATGTGAACGTCCTTCTGTTTACCCATTTTTCTGTCCAGCTCTCTGACTGTCGGTCTGCGAACTTATCACACTTTTGGTTTTTTTATCTGTGCCAGGTGTGTTTGGAAAAATGATTCTTTTGGATAGGATATTCCAAAAAATGTTGAATCGATAGGTCATGTCCCTTTTCGACATATAGACAAGAATCAATTAAGAAAGGGCCTTTTTAAAACTATCCCAGGAAAAAATGTTCAATGATAACATGTTTATATATTTCAGCTAATTTCTTTAACGTAAATTCTACATTTCGTCAAAGCAGTGCAGTGGATTTCGATGTCGGGGCCATAATAGATCAGATATTAACATGGATACATGTAAGGAAAGAAATTTTCAAAATCGTCAAAGTCTTCCTATTAAGGACCACCATCTTCGCTTAACGTGACAAAAACTCTCTTTCTTTTACAGCACCGTATGCCAAGGACATATGAGAGAAGAAGCTTACCAGAAACCCTTAACTACCGAAAATGAAGGACCATTAGAAGATGACATTTTAGAATAATTAGGTAAAAGCATCCTGATAAGGTATAGATTTTAAGTTGCTACACTTATGGCTAAATCATGCCTTAAAGGATTTGGTGAATTATGAGAGTCGTTACATCTCTTTCATATCTGGATATTTAACAAGAAAAACAAGTTAATAGTAATTTAACAAATAAGCATTTAGATAAGCGTGATGACTTTTTTAATCGTCAACTTTCATTACATATGCAGCAATATACCTTTATCTCCTGCGTACAGAGTTTATATTTCTCATTTAATTTGATACGCTAGAGGATGCTATACATACGAACTATTTCTATAAGTAGGTAAATTATTGATAAACAAGTTGATGAAGAGAGAAATTCAACAGTCTCGTTTAAAGTCGTAATTACGTAGTTCTAAGGTCGATACAATGACTTTATCTACAAGTACAATCTACATGTATCATTAAATATAAATGCTAACAGACGTTTTTCATACTAACTGTTAGGCTATTATTAACACTGCACTAAACTGACGGCGGATTTATCCGTTTTATCCCGATCACGACAAAGAGCATACGGCGGGAATGACTGGTTGGCAGGCTTTGGTCACTCCTCTATGGCACCTGATTCCACTGCTGATGTTTTAGAGGTCCGTGTGCGCTTCGTTTGATAGACTTTTGAGCTTGAATAATCTTCATTGTCTCTGTATATTTCATTGTACCAAATTTAAACAATCACTGCGAAATTGATAAAAAAAAATGCCACTTTTTTATTATGAGAAGAAAAGCCGTACAATAAATAGACACACGGGATATTTATGAAATTTTCAGAAGAGTTTATTAACATATAAATGTGTATTTACATTAAATAAAATTTTTATCAAAGAGTACGAAAGTACTATGTAACAACTAACCATGTTTTTATAAATAAAATGAATGAGTTTACCTGCGTATCTGCCAACATTGATTAATCTCAAAAAATCTTTCAACAAAACAAATTCTGTTAACATGGCATAAACAGGGACCCTATGGAAATTCTAGAGGAGGCTCTGGTATTTAGTAGGAGTTAGCATCCACTACTGACGGGTCACACCCATGGTAAACTCTTCATTGAAAACAACAATCCATTGATGAATTTATTAGTGTGTTGACAAATATTTTCATTAAAAAAATCCATTTTTCAATAGTCAAGTTTTTTATCTCACTGTTGAAAATGTTTTGAATTATAAGGATATCCGATCCTCAGCCATAAATGAAAACTCCAAAAATTGATATTTAAAAAAGTGTCAATATGAGGCTTGAAAATGAAATTTTTACATGCAACAATTTTTATTTTATTCATCTTTATATGATTCAAGGTTTATGGAAATTTTAGAAAAGGTCTCATAAAAAGTTTTCATTTTACCCCATAATAGGGAAAAAATAGAAGTAAGATTTCCTTGAATCGAGTGTCAGATAAAAATACTTTTTAGCATGATATGAAATTAGTAGTGATTTTTGATGTCTTGCAATGCTAGCAAAAACCTTTTATATTATGTATTATATAATACATGAAGGAAATAGAAGACATACAATACCAAATTAGTATAAAAATCACCACAATTGCACTGAATGTCTGGATACCTATTGCTTTTTAAGTTAAGGTAGTCCGATCCACAGGTTTATAAAATTAGCAGCTTAGTGATAAAAAATAATCATAAATGTATCTCTGAATCCACAAAGTTATGTAAATTCATGCACAGTATTTCTTAAAAGTTAAAGATTATTAAAATTAATCATATTATATAGGGGAAATTGTAAAATCCCCAATATTTTTGCAGAGAAAAAGCGAATTGGAATATCAGCAATGCATTTTCTAATTGCAAATTGATCAACAAATATATTTTAGGTTAAAAAAAAACAAAGATAGGTATCCACTCATTCAGAGAAATTTTAATGATTCTTATGTTACTTATTTGATATTGTTTGTTTTCTATTTTCGTCATGTTTTCCATAATACATAGTGTATAAGGCTTTTACTATCATTGCAAGATACAATAAATCACTTCTTATTTCATATCATGCTAATAAGCTTTGGTAGCTAAGGCTGGATTCAAGAATTCCTTGTTTCTCTGAAGCTGTATTATTTTATATTGATAACTTCAATGCTATTTCTATGAACCTGAGGATCGGATTCTAACAAAAATTCTTTATTCGATTTGTAAGAATGAGCAAAACTTTAGATGTTTAATTAAAATTTTTTAATAATATAACTGCTCTGAAAGACATTATTATTTACAAAGTTGATACATGTACCTCTAAAAAAACATCGAACAACAAAGGAAACCATGGAAGCAAAAGTTAAAGCATAATTATTATATGCACTCCAAATACGGATGTGTGTTACATCAATATTTTAAGATATTTTATCAAGAAAGTTACATGCTGTTATAATATACACAATAACACCTTTATACACCAATCTTTTGTTTTCTATTTTAATAATAATTGGAAACATTTTTGCATACAAGTTTTTTTTGTCCCTAAAACGGGGTTGGTTCTAAGAATCCTATAATCTTCTCCTTGTTTATTTTTCTATATAGCAAGCGACGTGTTAATTCCGAATAAGTGGAATTTTGAGCGAGACGCAAAATCATCAAAAGTAAATTGCATATGTTTTTGCAAGAGTTAATTTCAAAGATTTTATGTTTAGAAATACAACTATTGCAAAAGATTCGGTATAAATTGTTAGCAGCATTTAATTTTAGCGATCTTAAAACCTTCACTTTAATGCCAAAATTGAATACTTGCTAAAAATTTTGCTTTTACGGTTTTCATTTCTATATTCAGTTCGTTATTTTGTGTTTTCTTGTTACACACCTTATACGGTGTTATCAGCTGGATAAATTGTGTTCAGTTGAATAATAGTCTCAATAAAAATAAGCTAGCCTAAAATGTTCAGCTTTTAATTTAACTGTTATAATTATTAGATCACCTGAATAAACGTTGCTATCTGTTTTCGTCTGTCGTCGTGCATGTTGCTTCATCTGTCGTGCGTTAACATTTGTCAGCTTCGTCTCTGCAACCACTCTATCAATTTCAACCAATGTTTGGCACAAAGCATTTATGGGTGAATGGGAACAAAATTAATGAATTTTTAGTCCCTGCCCCCCCCCCTCCCAAAAAACCACTTAAATTAATGCATTCTTTAATAATCGTCTTTACTCAAGCAGTCAAACTGTTAGCATGATTATTATCAATATTGAGTCTTATACAACAATTGTGAAATTCATGGCATCAGGGTCAGGTATTCTCCTATTAGGGTGGAGCTCTATTGATTATATAGTGAAAATGCATACATTCTTTGACGATCCTCCTCTATGCTCCTAAGAATTAAATAAACTAAGAAAGTACAAAGTTTTGTTGAGCAAGAATGACCTTTTCATTATTGTGAATTTCATGGCCCCTGGGTTGGGGGTACCAGTGTTAGGGCGAAGCATGCAAGTAGCGGAGATACATTAATTCTTTAGAAATTTTTTAATCAGCTCCTGGGTTATATACAAATATACGAAGTTTGTCATGAACAGTAAGATTATTTTACAGCATATATATGTATTAGCTCTGAGTAATATTTATCACAGTTTCATATATCAGTTTACTGCATTCATATCCGCATTTTTTTTTTAGATTTGTAACTTTTCGTTTCCGACATTGATTAATTTCCAATATCGATATATTCAAATTTTATACCATTTTCGCCTGAAAATCACATATTTTGTGTTTTCTTGTTACACACCTTATGCGGTGTTATCAGCTGGATAAATCACATATTTTGACCAATATTTCAAAGTTAACATCACTGACACCAACTTTTTCTTTCATTATTTTAAAGTACTCGATACCTGTGCCTTATAAAGCTTAATTTAAGAACAGTGTTTTATTGTCTATTTAGTTTTTT